GAAAAGACATTAGAAAATAACTCAAAGCCATATGAAAATATAAAGCTCTACAGTAAAGGTAAATAAATGGGCAAGTATAAAAGCCAATATAATTGTACCTTCTGTTTGCATCTCAACTTTTTATTCTTTTGCAGGGGGTATAAAATAATTATAAGCCTGTTTTAATGATACACAATATATAAAGATGAATTTGTTACATCAATACCAAAATTAGGAAGGGAGGAGCACAGCTACAAAGAAGTTAAGTTTTTGTATGCAACTGAAGTTAGCTTAGTATCAGTTTAAAATACATTGTTATAACATTAAAATGTTGTATGTAATCTCTCAGTACACACAAAGATTATAGAATATACATACACAAAGGAAATAAAGGAATCAAAACATGTCACAACAAAATAACACAAAGGAAGGCAGTCAGGTGGAGATGAGAGACAAAAAAGGTGTAAGACGTATAGAAAGTAATTAGTAAAATGGCAATACTAAGTCCTTCCCTATCCATACTACTTTAAATATAAATGGCTTAACTCCCCAACCAAAAGATACAGATTGGCAGAATGGATTAAAATAAACAGAGTCCAACTATATGCTGTCTACAAGATACTCACTTTGGCCCTAAGGACTCACATATGTTAAAAGCAGAAGGATCAGGGGAAAAAAATCCCATGCAAAAATAACCAAAATAGAGCAAAGATAGCTACACTAATATCAGACTACAGACTTTAACTCAAACCCTGCTACAAAAAAACAATGAAGGACAGTATATACAGAACAACTCAGGGGTTAGGGCACTGACTCCCCATGCAGTCAAAAATCTATATAACTTTGGATTCCCCCAAAACTTAACATACCTAACTACTGCTTAAGTATGCTGCACACTTTCCCCTGGATCATGGCCACACCACACTGTGCACCCCAAGCCTCACAGGCTGATACCACATCATTACTTAAATAGTAGTTAAATATTTAACTACTTAATACTGTTAAGTAGGCTTCTTAACTGGTTAGGTATGTCATGCATTGATAGCATATCTAACCCCAAATTTTCCAATATATTTATTGAAAAAAATCCACATAAGTGGACCTGCACAGTTCAAATCCGTGTTTTTCAAGGCTAAACTGTAATGACAAAAGAGGCACTTTGTTAAGAAGATGTAACAACTATAAACATACAGTAGTCCCCCTTTAACTGTAGCTTCACTTTCAGTTTCTGTTATTCACAGTCAACTGTGGTCCAAAAATATTAAATGGAAAATTCCAGAAATAACCCGTGTTTTTCAAGGCTAAACTGTAATGACAAAAGAGGCACTTTGTTAAGAAGATGTAACAACTATAAACATACAGTAGTCCCCCCTTAACTGTAGCTTCACTTTGAGTTTCTGTTATTCACAGTCAACTGTGGTCCAAAAATATTAAATGGAAAATTCCAGAAATAAACACTTCTGAAGTTTTAAATGGCATGCACTCTGAGTAG